GTTGTGTTGTGTGTTTGTTGTGTTGTGTGTTGTGTTGTGTTGTGTGTTTATAGGTTGCTTTCGTTGGTTGTGTCCTGTGTTTGTTGGTTGTGTGAATGTTTGTTTCGTGTTTGCCTCTGTCTACCCAGCAGTAATTGGGGACCTGGATGTTAATCGATTTGTAAATCATATTCCGGGGTAATGGTTAGCCAGTGCAGTTGGCGAGTTGTCCGGTCTTCTCGGACTATTCCTTGACACTGGGTCATGCAGCTCGTTAACACAGGGTGTGGTTGTTGTGTTGGCGACAGCTTCTACATCTTAAACAAATTCACGCCTAGGTGGCTCTTGGGCTGGCCACCCACGTTACACGAGGGACAACCATTATATTATATTTGTTGTGTGTGTATTTTTTGTATCATGTTTTCTCTGTTGTGTTATGTAATAAAAGTTAATGTGTCACGTGTGTGTATGTTTAGTATGGATGAATAGGAATGAGGTCACAGGAAAAAATCACAATTTATTTTATTTGAATACCATTAACAGGTTAGGTTAAGTTAGGTTAGGTTATGAACATTTTCTAACTACTGTAGACCTAACTCTCATCTGCCTCTATTTATACACTGTGACTTCATACATTCGTTGCTATGCTATGCGTGTATATTTGTAGTGTTGTGTATATCATAGGCAAATAGGCATGCATTATAGTAGCAGTAGTGATGATAGTACCTGTAGTAGTAGTAGTAGTAGTAGTAGTAGCTTCTGCCCCAACTCCGACAACTGCTGCAGATATTGACTATGAGGCTACTGTCACTGAATGCCGCATAGATCTGCGGCTCAACTAATTTAACACAGATAGGATAGCTACTTATGTATTAGGATATTTAATATTAAGGTAATAAAATGGTGGCGAAGGTGTGGCTATTGCGGGACGCTGGAGGCCACGTTAAAAAAAAAAGTAGTAGTAGTAGTAGTAGTAGTAGTAGTAGTAGTAGTAGTAGGTGTGAAGGGAACAAGATCTTCTGCCCCTAAACCAACAGCAGTGACAGACAGGGACTATGAGGAAACACTTTCAATCGGCCTTATGACTGCGACTTTTTTGGCCAGAAATGAAACCTACTGTACATGTATCTAACTGACTCAGCGAGGGTATATAATTTTGTATTAGGTCATAAAATGTGTAGAGTTGTTGTAGTAGTAGTAGTTAGTGATGGTAGTACCTGTAGTAGTAGTAATAGTGATGATAGTACCTGTAGTAGTAGTAGTAGTAGCAGTAAGGAACACATCACCAAAGACAACAACAGCAACGGAGAACAGCGCCAAGAACAGCATCATCCTCTGCCAACAACACACACGAGAAAAACAAAACACCTACCACCACTGTCTCTACCACAACTACCACTATCACCAACACTACCATCACCACTACTTCCATCAGCACCACCATAAATATCACCACCGCCATTACCACTACCACCACCACCGCTATTAACACTACCACCACCACTGCCACCATCATCACCATAACCACCACCACCATTACCATCATCACTATCACCATAACCACCACCACTGCCACCATCATCACCATAACCACTTTCGTCATCACCATCATCACTATCACCATAACTACCACCACACCATTAGATTCACTGGCACCATCTTCGCCATTTTTCACCGTCAGTTTAGGGCCAAAAACAAAATTCCTCGGTTCAGCGGCGACCTTAGAGGAGCTCTGGGTACCCAGCCCCCCGCTGCGAGGACACGTGGCGATGACGTCACCTGTTGCTCGGCACTACTGCGTCATAATGTTGCAGTGTGGCGTCACAGAGGAGACATGTCTTTGCCCAAAACACACACACACACCTTCAGAAAACCAACGTAAACAAGCCAGAATAAGGTATTGTTCTGTATGACCTGAGAGGGTAACCAACAGGGGTCCTTGGTGGTTAGCTCAGTAAACAAAACAAACACAAGAAGATAAATAAACAGGTATTAAGAGCTCGTTTGACCACAGGTACACAGTGCAGGTGACGCCAAATACTAAGGTGTCAGGTCATCGCTAATTATATTTTCAGGATCATTTGGAGATTAACCCCCTTTCTTAATTCATCTCAAGACCTAACCCCACCTAACCTAATCTATCCTCATCAAACCTAACCTAACCTAACCTAACCTAATAGCATCAGTGTGTTTAATTATCAGAATACAACTTATAATAAATTAACGTTACTTTGTTTTATTGGCAAAATTATTTCATGTTTGTCTGGTTCTCAAAAGCATAATTTAATCACCCTCCTAGCTTATGTCACCAGATGGATAAACCGTGTAAACACTACCTGCCTGGGGTTAGTCAGATTAAATTAGATTTTTTTTAGTTATGTTTGATTATATTAGGTAAAGTCAGGATAGCTTATTGTTTTAGGTGTTTAATCATCTGGTTAAAAGAGGGCGCTAAGCTTCATGTGATCCGTTGTCTTAATAGTTAATTATCTTACGCTCAGTTGTCTAAAATGTCGTCTTTTTTAATAAAACATAAAAAAATAGTGAAAAACAAGAACAATTTCTAGAATTTTTGTCATTTTCCTCATTAATAAACTTGGGGGTTACATATTATTATTGGTGCCCGTAAGAGAATTGAGCCAAACACCTCCCTATCACACTCTTCCCTCAGGTAACACACAACTCACCCACACCCTCTTAAATTCCCTCACAGACGGTGCTTATATCATTAATATTCCAGACAGACTCCAGTAAACTTCTACGCCGTCACTTCAAGGTCACCACGCCTATGGCTCTACATTTTAGCGAGTAACATGTTGAGTCACCAGAAGATCAACCCCAACGCTAACGTAATGTAACGAACCGTCCGTAACCTAACATTAACGTAGTGTAACTTAACGCTAACGCAACGTAACCTATAGCCTGGTGTCTCTCACTCAACACTCAACATCCTCACATATACCTCACCTGTCACCCTCACCAGATTACCCAAACTGGTTAACTGGGACGCGCTAGGTTAGTAAGGGGGGGGGGATTATGTAAGAAAGAAAGACACACACACACACACACACACACACACACAGTATGTCAATATATGTTTGTAGTGTACTCAATATGTAACATAGACCAACATGAAATATACCCGTTATACTGTATTGATCAATGTAATATACAGTTATACTCAGTAAATCAACAGTGAGTTCATCTAATATACGTCTATTAATTAACTTATTCATGAGTATTTTTATGTCATGAGTTTCAGTGTTATTGATGTGTTTACGTCCACACACACACACACACACATATTCTGGTGCGTTGTGTGTGGTGGCAGGTGTGTTGGCAGGTGTATGTTGGCTGGTATGAGGTTGATAAACACACAGGTACAATATGCAGCTGAAGGTTAACTAGAGTATAAGCAGGACAGGTGAGGGTATGATGTGTTTATGGTGTAGTTCTGCCAGTCGCCACCAGTGGGCTCTTGGGTCTTACCTAAGTCTTAGAGGTGACATTTATGTAATCACTGATAAAAGTGGCGTTAATTAATTGTTTGAAGGTTCACCCCCTACCTTATTTCATATGAATATTAACCATCATAACGCGTTGGTTGGTTCGGTTAGGTTAGCTTTAGGTAAGGTTGGGTTAGGTTAGGTTGGGTTGAGTTGAGTTAAGAGACAACTTTATTCTTGACGTTTTGTCCAGTTCTCTGTGATCTTGTGTTTACTTTATTACCACGTAACTCACTAGGATAGATTAGTTTGAGCGTGGTTAGGTTAGCGATAGTGTAGACCCGATTAGGTTAGGTTAGCGCTAGGGTGTTTATTCATCAGGTGAAAGAACTGGGGTGCTTAATATTCAATTGATTCTTGTCAGCTCTCCAGCATAAATGTCCCCAAAATTCCCCAGCATTTATATACTTAAGTAATATAAATGTTTGTATACCTTCCCATCTTCGTCCTTGTCACCTCCATTATTTTCAGGTTCTTTCTCAGCAATTTCGATATTTTCCCTCTTGACCTACATTTCTTTGTTTTCCTCAACACAGTCAATGTTTACACCACCCCTACCAACACACCCAGTTTCTCTTTCCTCCATACTCACCTTTCGTGACACACATACTGACGACTTGACATGATGTTTGGATTATTTTCACTTTTATCTCCGCAGTTTTCAAGTATTTCTTTCTCTTATGCATTCATGGAAGAGTTGCCCTCTTGTGTGTGAATGAATGGAGGCTAGCCCGGTGTGCCGAGATGAAAATGTTCTGGTTATCCTAATCTAACCTAACCTAATCTTTAATTCCGAGGAGTAATCTCAGCACGCCTCAAGCTTTCAATGATGCTTTGATAGAACTGAGCATGTCCAGATTTTTGTTTTTAGTATTATACAATCTCACACGCCACACCAGGTGACGTAGTGTTGGTGACACACAAAGTATGAGCCAATAATCACGATATGGAGATGGACAGAAGGATCCGGGCGTCCTACTTAAAGGTTTAAACCCTATCAAGTCACTATGCAACTACTTCCCGGGTGGCTACTCGCTATACCTTACTTCCTGACAATGTACAGGATTACGATGAACCTTAAACTAGATATTTATATTACGTATAACAACAGTGACACCAGGAAAATGAACACATCACTTATACAGTACTTGAGCGAGAGAGATAACGTACAGCCTCCTTCGGTCTACATAAGTGCCCTCTAGCAACCTGTGGCCGAACTAAATTAAGTATAGGGCTTTCTACAGTTTTTGTAATATAATCTTATTCTATAGATAAGGTTAATTTACTTCAATATATGGTTATTTTAACAGTTAACATTAACATATACACACGATAGTAGGGAATATATACCTAAACGTTGGCCAATAATAATCAATGTCATACAACTGGTGAGCTCGGTGCGGTAACAAGGAAACGACCACTTTACCTGAAGTTGTTTAAGTTGCCAGTATTACTATATACAGTTAGTGAGGACCTCGGCAGTGCGACACTGGCAGCTGAGCTGCTGGGGTTGGTGTTTACCTTGATTCGGTGATGATGGTACGAACGGTGAACAAAGCGGTGGAAAGTTTTTACATTAATCATACACTACACCCTTTGTACAGTTCTTTGAATAACATGAGCATGGGTGAGTTAATTTAGTGTATCATTATATACTCACAAGAATTATTCTTTGTTTCACGAAAATTTAGATGAATTATTACAAGAGTAAGAGGGTGAAGGCTTCCATCTGATGCATACCCAGGACGTCATTATGTTGGACATCGCCTATTATTGCGTGTTCTGCTTTAGTTAATAATACTTATTATAATACTGATATTATTATTTTTGTTGTTAAGTAATCAGTGAGTTTTATTGACTAATATTTTAGTATTTGAGAAGTACTCTGAAGTAATCAGTGAAGAATATTGAGTAATATTTTAGTTGCATTATATTGAGACATATGCGTTAGTAATCAGTGAGCAATATTAGATAGGGTCGAGAGTAAGAAAAACAAAGGCAGGTAACCACCCAATTAGGATTCGCAGTAAAGATAACGGTACTATTGGATCAGACGGCTAACACCAGGATGCGTTATTTGATTTCGTTCATTTTTTTCCACAGATGTTCTTTGGATGATATTAAGTTAATAGAACGACACGACAATACAAAGAACCTAATAGAGCCTGATCTAACCAACCAAAGAATCCTACCTAACTTAACCTAACTTCCTAGCCAGGGGCTCCGATCCCCGTACCCCCAACCATATTAAACAGAAAGTACTTATTTTGGTATCTGGTACCAATAAATTCAACTTTGTTGAAACGTCATGGTATAATCTTAAGTTTTTTTGTGAACGTGAGGGTACAGTGCACTCGGGCCGAACAGCGGTTGTAAACAAACACGTCACGCGGTGACTCGCCAGATTTTTCGGAGGAGAATTTACGGTAAATACTGTAAATAATCATTTCTTCGTGTACCAAGCACATAGAGACTTTTTAGTGTTTTACTCACTACAGGTGATTTATGATCGCAGATAAAAAAAAAATACCTTTAGTAGATTCAGATTTCAGATTTGCCCCCGAGGGGGCTAGTTTATTGGGCACCCCCTTACATCCTGTGCAAGGTGAAGCGCAGAAGCGTTTACAGCGCCCAACAGGGAAGTATGAAAAGTTCATACTTGCCTTTATGACTCGTACATTAAGGGCGTAAAAGCCTGAAGGGTCATAGGTTTTGTCAAGTTACATAAAGTGAGAGAATGATGAGAGTGTGGGGGGAAAGTTCCCGGTACATTTTATCTGTTTATGGCAAAGAGTGGCAGGTCCCTAATAATGTCAAATGCCAGGCCTGTGACTAGGAGGGATAAATACCTTTAGTAAAAAAAAAAAAAAAAATATTGGTTTGATTACTTAATATCATCCAAAGAACATCTGTGGAAAAAATGAACGAAATCGAATCACCTGTTCTGGTGTTAGGCAACCGGTCCAGGATTACCATTTATCATTAAGTTATCATATACTGTATTGTTATCACCTGTTATCATCTATATTTCAACTCCAATTGGATATTGATCTGAGACATAATCTGAAGTGGTGTGGTGTGGAGTTTTATGCGTTATATTAATTGTCTTCTGCTGCATTGTGTTTTCTGTTGTCTTAAGCGTTGTCTGTTATATTGTGTTGTCTGTTATATTGTATTGTCTGTTATAGTAAGTGTTGTCTGTTACATTGTGCTATCTGTTGTCTAAGTGTTATCTATTACACAGTATTAATTAATATGTTGTCTTAAATGTTAAGCATTATCTGAAGTATTATCTGTTAAGTAATATCAGTTATTTTACTTGTCGAGAGCTCGTAAACATAAACTCAGTGTCGACTAGTCGGAGTCTTTAAATGTTTTCTGGCGCTTAAGTTCAGTGCTAAGTTTCTTGATACTGTACATGTGTGTGTATGTGTTGATTGGCAGCATGTACTGTACAATATATGAAGTTCGTGTGTGTCTGTGTACGTCCGTGTGTGTTTACATGTGTGTGCTCAACTGCTCATGTGTCGTATACGATATATCATAACCACTAAGTATGAAAACTGAACGTATGAAAGTCTGCGTAAAAGTTTCTGACACGATCAAAATATTAATCACAGCAACTCGGGAACTGAGACCTTAAACACAGAACCTCACTACGCTTCTTTATGTAACATTATCTCTCCGTAGAACTAAACCAAGGTACAGCTTTAGAGAAACACTGATACAAATAAAAAAATGTATAATGAGGTTGTACGCTGGACTCGTAAAACGAAAATTAAATCCTTGGTGCAATATTTCCGGGTGATGTCTTGGGCATAAACATGGCGAGATTTGACTAAAATTTTAGGGAATATAGAATGAAAATACATGATGGCTTTTAGTAGATGATTTCTGGCTCCGAAATCTTAAGAAGAAACGAGGAAAGACGGGAAAGGGAATAGGGAGAATGAAGTGAAGGAAAATCGTATTTATCCCACGAACTTTTCATCTAAGTTTCAAGACAAAAGAACGACGATAAATTGGATTTTGGTCAGATGAAGGACAAGTAAACAACTAACAACAAGGGACTGTATGACCCAAATCCTCCCCCACCCTCGACAACAAGCACAGACCGACACTTCTTAAATAGAACAACCATGACCGAAAAGTTTGGTAGACATTTGGCATTGGGACACCTGACAGTATATCTTGGCTGAGGTGTAGCGTGAGCGCCTCTTGTCAACACAACGGCGGCTTCACCCTCGTTACGAGTTGGAGGTGTCCGTTTTAAGCATCTGTCTCATAGGATAATCGGTTGATCGAACAAGGAGTTCTGGGGCACTTTATACCCAGATCACGTTGTGGCAAATTATTTTGTTTACCCTAAATTAAATCGTACCCAACATATATTGTACTCTAATTCATATAGTGCTCAAGGCATTTCGTACCCAAACCAGTTCTCAACATACAGGAACATACATAATGCATGGGTGATGGTACAAATAGACATACGCATCGCTGATTGGTTGGTAACTCAGACCACACCCATACTGGGTTATATGATATTGCAAGGTTTGCCGGGTGGTAACTAACAACACGCCCTCCTTGGTCGGTACAGTCAACAAAACACCTTGGCGACTCCTGGGTGATAATTATAATCAGTACTGCGAGCTTTACTCTAGTCACTGAAGATAATGCGCTCACTTCTGTGATCTTTAACTGTCGCCAGGACTTTGACTGCTTAATTAGAGGAAAATGAGCTTACCTATACTTATTGCCTGATCAATTACAATAACTTACACTGAGAGGATGACAGCACAAGCACACTCGATCATATTACACGACAGTGCTCTCATAAAGATTGGGCATCCCAAAGTGCTCACCTGAAAATTTCGGAACCCAGCTTATCCCACCTGTTTAATGGTTAACAAATTTATTGGCAAAGCTTGGAGTACAGTTTGCCAATTCTGAGTAATTCAGTCAGGTCTTGACACTGAGGGTGGTATCACTTCTCACTGCCACGCAGGACAGAGGTTCATACACAAAGAAATAGATCATATTCATAAACAGTATATATAGGTCAGAGTCATGTGGGTGATATCATTGCTCACTGCCACGTAGGACAGTGGTTCATATACAGTAGAAGTCATATTCTATTTGAGGACTAATCAGTATGGGCTAGCAAATTTTGGATATACCGCAAGAATGTCCTCAAGCACTCCTGATTCAATGTAGTAATTACATAGTTCATTATACAATAAGCCAGGTGGCCTGAAGTCTTTGGCAGTGTCGCATTCAATAATATAGTGTTCAAGTGTATACTTTAAAGGTTTATCACAAAGTTTACATGCTGGGTGTTTTGGTATGGGTACAGCGTCATAAACTTGCCAGATGTGTCTGTATCCTAGCCTAATTCTGGCTACGACTACATCACATTGTCTGATTCTGTCCTTATGCTGGCTATACCGGTACCTCTTGTCACAAAATTTGTCATATTTACTAATGCTACAACTATCAGGTCTCTCTGCATTTCTCAGTTCTTCTAGATCAGAGTTCATGATTTTGACGTGAACGTTTTTAAGTACAGCATCGGACAGGCCAAGGTCACGGTCCACATTCTCTTTCTTGCATTCCTCATTGGCCAGTCTATCAGCACGGTCATGATACCTAATTCCAACTTGGGATGGAATCCACACAAATTCAATACGAAAGTTGTTCTCATTGGCAGTTATCACATTTCTTTTAATATCACAGATAACTTTCGACATAGAGCCTGACGGACTGTTCATTGATTTCAAAGCACTTTGGGAGTCACAGAATATCACCCCACCTATATTTTCTTTAAGGTAGTCTGTAGCTAAGTAGATACCCATTAGTTCGATTTGTGTTGTGCTGGCCCAGTTGTTCAGCCTTTGCATATTTGTCACTATCATCTCCCTTTCTTTATATATTACAAATGTACAACCTATTCTACCTGTGTTAGTCTGCATAGAACCATCAGTAAAAGCATAACATTCACTTGATTTAATACTCTCTATGTGACTGTTAATAGTTTCTTGTGTAATACATCTCACTACATTGGTGTTTAACATTTGATTACTACTAACAGGAGTGTAATTAATAGGAACTGATATATCCAGCCAAGGAGGAATGGCATTAATAGGTTCGTCTGGGGTGATTGGGACATTCAGTTTCAAGAGATCTGTAACACTTTTATGAAGCCACGCCCCAAAGAGAGTCTTTTGTGGAAGGCTAGCGAGATAGTCGGGATTACTTAGATAGAACATCAACTCAGTTTGAGCTGTAGATTGAGGACCATTGTTCTTCAAAACTTTGACACAAAACATGGTATTAGTAGAGTTATCCTCTCAGATAGGTAGGGCAGTCCCAGCTCTTTCCTCATGTTTACAATTCTGGTTGATTTTTGGGCATCCTGGAATGATGCGTATGGCTTCATTTTCTACTACCTCAAGGCTGTTGAGTTGTTTAAAGGGAATAGTTACAAGATGCAGGCAGTGCCGGGTTAAGACTTTCGTAGGCCTTAGGCACCTCCAAGATATGGGGCCCCATTTGACAGCATATTCACTAATAACACAAGCTAGTACCTAATTATAAAATGTGATGTCGAAAGAATAAGATTCAGTG